TTTGAGCCACAAAAAAGTCAACAAATCTTCACCTTGGCGAAAATTCAAATGAGGCACTGTATCTCTGTCAAACAAACTGTCTTCTCCACTAAGCCCCCAAGGGCAATTTCAACATTTGAGAATACCAACCAAGTCCAAGCAATGCTTGAACTTAAGTGCCGGAATGGACTTTGTCATCATATCCGCCAGATTTTCAGCTATGCCAATTTTCTTCAATGTAGTAATTCCTTCTGATGTGACATCCCGAATAAAATGATATCTGACATCAATGTGTTTGGTTCTCTCGTGATACATTTGATTTTTGGTCAAATATATCGCACTCTGATTGCACATAAATAAGAGCTCTGCTGTAAACCCAAAACACTAACCAAACCTCTCAATCAAATGGCTTCCTTCACTGCTTTAGTGGCCACCATATATTCTGCTTCTGTAGTAGAGAGAGCAACTGTAGATTGCAAAGTTGCTTTCCAACTAACTGCACAACCTGAGAGAGTAAAGAATTATCATGTCAAAGATCTCCTTCTGTCTAAATCACCAGCGTAGTCAGAGTCCACAAAACCAACAACACTGCCAAAATCATCACTGCTCTTCTGATAAACTAAGCCAATATCTGCAGTACCTTTCAAATACCGAAGAATCCACTTCACGGCTAGCCAATGCTCTTTTCCTGGATTATCCATATATCTGCTAACTACACTGACTGCATGTGAAATATCAGGGCGAGTGCAAACCATTGCTTACATCAAGCTACCAACTGCAGTAGCATAAGGAACACGGGACATATGCTCCTTCTCCTCTTCGAACTGCGGTGATAAAGCTGCAGAAAGACGAAAATGAGCAGCAAGTGGTGTGCTCACAGGCTTGGAATTCTGCATGTTGAACTGCTCAAGCACTTTATCAATATAACTCTTCTGTGACAAACTCAACCTGCTAGCTTGGCGATCCCTCTGAATTTCCATGCCCAAAATCTTCTTCGCTGCACCGAGATCTTTCATCTCGAATTCAGTATTCAACTGAGATTTTAACTTGTTGATTTCTGACACGTCTTTTACAACAATAAGCATATCATCAACATATAACAACAAGTATACAAAAGATCAATCTGAGAGCTTCCGGTAGTAGACACAACTGTTATAGCTACTTCTCAAGTAACCATGTCCAACCATAAAAGTGTCGATCCTCTTGTACCACTGCCTTGGAGATTGCTTTAACACATACAAAGATTTCTTCAACAAACAAACATGGTCTTCTTTTCCCTGAACAACGAACCCCTCTGGCTGATGCATATAAATTTCTTCTTCAAGCTCACCATATAGAAAAGCTGTTTTGACATCAAGTTGCTCAAGCACCAAGTCAAATTGAGCAACCATGGCAAACAACACGCGGATAGAGGTGTGTTTTATAACTGGTGAGAAAACTTCATTAAAATCCATGCCTTCTCTCTGACTATAACCTTTTGCCACCAAACGTGTTTTGTTCCTTGCATCTTCAACACCTAGAGTTCCTTCCTTTTTCTTGAAGACCCATTTGCAACCAACAATCTTCTGGCCTTTAGAAGGTTTCACTAACTCCCATGTCTGATTCTTATGAAGAGATTCAATCTCCTCAGTCATAGCAACAATCCACTTAGCAGATTCATTTCTTGTAATAGCTTCTTGGTAGGTGAAAGGCTCTTTATCTTCAATATTTTCTACCACAGACAAAACATAAGCAACTAAATCTGCATAAGCATACCTCTCAGGAGGTTTAATTTGCCTTTTCTGTCTCCCTATAGCAATACTGTACTGTTGCTCATATGATACTTGATCATTTTGCACCTCTTCAATATTGGGCTGAACTGGAGTGTTGACTTGTTTCTCTGAAGCTTCAAAGTCATGCTCCACCTACTACTTAACACCCTGAGATTCACCTATAACAAAAGACTCCTCTCTCGGGTGAAGTAAAGCAAACTCATCAAAAGTAACATCTCTGCTGATAATAAACTTAGGTGACTTAGGATCAGGACACCACAACCTGTATCCCTTCACCCCAGATGCATAGCCAATAAAATTACATTTCTTGGCTCTAGGCTCAAGTTTTCCTTCATTAACATGAGCATAAGCAGGACATCCAAAAATTCTTAAATTAGAATAATCAGCAGGAGTATCAGACTATACCTCTTCAGGTGTTTTGCACTCAATAGCAGTCGATTGTGACCTGTTCACCAAATAGCAAGCTGTGTTGACTGCTTCAGCCCAAAATCCTTTAGACAACCCAGCATTGAAAAGTAGACCAGAAAGAAGATCAAGCGTCTCAGAACAGATAACAGTTTAGAATTTTGCTCAGGAGAGTTTGACGAGTTCTGCAGTAATGAAGGCATTGTCAAACACCATACAATTCGAAACACTCCACAACAGAATGGTGTAGCAGACAGTTTGTTATGAAAATAACAATTTTATTTACATCAAAAGTTTAAGATTGAAATACCGAGTAAATCATGGCGATTTTATCATGATATGAGAAAGGAGCCATGGAATTATCTTTATTTTTCATGGGTATAATAATACCTATAATTTTACTTGTAATAATTTCTTTGATTTTCGATTTTCATCCTACATTGAAGTTATGTTTGGAAGGATTTGAATTCGATTTTCTCTTAATTTCAATTGCAAAGTGTATGATTGAGTATTTCCGAACGCAATAGAGTAGTTTGTATAATTTTGTGGAATTGATCTCTAAAAATGATTGCACGAGTAATTTATTGAAAATAGTGAATACTTGTCTAGTTCTGAACAAATATGAACAAGTGATCAACTGAACCATCTTGTTGTTAACATTTATGACAGAGAACTAGAAGATGATACCTGTAACGACCCACTCCACCATATGGTATGATATTGTCCGCTTTAGGCCTGAGCCCGCACGGTTTTGCTCTTGGGCTTCACCCCAAAAGGCCTCATACCAATTGGAGATGACATACTTACATATAAGCACTTCACATTTCCTCTACCCAGGCGATGTGGGACTGTGCACCCGTAGCTCGCCAGTGTGGTAGCCTGACAGTGTCTCTCGCACCCGCCCACGGCACACCCGCCCACAGGGTCATCACAATCCAACCCCCTTGGAGGCCCGACGTCCCCGTCGGCACACTTCCGGCTGGGTCAGGCTCTGATACCATTTGTAACGACCCACTCCACCATATGGTATGATATTGTCCGCTTTAGGCCTGAGCCCGCACGGTTTTGCTCTTGGGCTTTACCCCAAAAGGCCTCATACCAATTGGAGATGACACACTTACATATAAGCACTTCACATTTCCTCTACCCAGGCGATGTGGGACTGTGCACCCGTAGCTCGCCAGTGTGGTAGCCTGACAGTGTCTCTCGCACCCGCCCACGGCACACCCGCCCACAGGGTCATCACAATACCTTTCTTACAAATTCACAATAGAAGGAACCAAATTATTTTGATTGAAAAACAAAAGAATTATTCATTTAGGAATAATGAAATATTGGCATTAATTTCTAGCACCAATTTTCAGATGAATGTAATTACCAAAAGTTATATTGTAATTGAAGGAAAACCTGATTTTTTAATTATAATTATCCCACATAAGACTAGAGACTGTGTAGAACAAACTAATAATAATAACAATAATACATAAAACATAAGGTAAATTTATGAGCAATTCAAATATCAATTAAAGTTTTATTTTTATTTTTATTTTTTTATTTTTATGGGCTTTAATCAAGTTTTCATGGGTACGTTTGATATGCGTTTATGTTGTGTGTGTGTGTGTGTGTGTGTTTTTTTTTTTTTTGGGCAGGATATTGTAGCATTATTTTGCGCTACAACATGTTCCATAAATAATGATTGATTTTGTAGAGTACTAAAATACTTCATAAATAGTAATCCAAAGTTAAAACACCAATTTGTGTTTTTACATATTTTTGCACTTGTAGTACCAACACGGTAACGATGAATAATACCAATTTTTTTTCTTTTCTTTTTTTTATTAAAAAAATCTCAAATAATATTTTTAAATTAACCATTATATTTTTCAAACTTCTAACATTTTTCTACCAAATATGCTTTCATATTTATAATTGCTTTCAAAATCTTACAACAAATTTTATGTTATTAAACATACTTTCTGTTGGAGATTTTTGATATTTTTATACAATCTCATTTTTAAGTCTACTCATATAATCTTATTAAAATTCACTTTTACTAAAACACTTATATATTCATATCACAATATAATCATACTACAATAAATACAGTATAAATATAACAATATACTAAAATAATAGGCCAATAAAATATATAAAATCAATAAGAGAAGAATAAAGAAAAGTCTGGCCTGTGTAATGGAGAGGCAAACAGTATACGCAGTCCTAAAGCCTTTACAACCTCCCTACGTGTAGGTTGTGAAGACTATGAAAGGTTCCAAGATACAACTCTAATGTCCTCTGCGCACGTTCATAGAGTGACGATCACCAAGTCTTGTAGTGCAGCGCCTTGGGGCTCAAATTTTAGAGAGCCTCAAAATGGCCTCAAATTTTGAGGCTCATAGAGGATGGAAAAAAAAAAAAAATTTAAGTTACGACAAGTCTTGGTTGCCTTGAGGCCCACAGGGGATGGAAAAAAAAAATTCAAGTTAGGGCAAGTTTCAGACGACACAATCTGGTTCGACACTTCGCATGGCGCAGCCTCCGCTATCGCCTTAGGTGACAAGGTATGTTCATCCTCTCTCTCTCTCTTCTCTCTCCTTTTGCATGAATTGATCTTTTATATATGTTTCTTTCTTTCGTTCATCTCATCATTTGATTTGTTCTAACTTTGGTTCGTTTGATTCGGGCCTTTACCATTGTTCCAATAGTGAAAAGTAGCTTCCAAACTAGGGTTTTGTGTGTGTCTGTGTGTGTGTCACTGTGTGTGATGGCTATCAAAAGCTGAATGAATATATTATGGTTCTCTTAGTATTTTAATAAATGTGTGCCTTTCTACGTGTGTCTTTCATGGCGATCGAGTCCACAATCTATGGCAGGTACTCTCTCTCTTTTTTTTTTTTTTTTTTTTTTCCTCCCTAATTCCACTCCAATCTCACAACAGCAGCAACCATACCCCTTTTCCTCATAATTTTTTGCATTTTCACATTCAATCCTACGAAAATTTAGTATCCCTTCTAGTGGGTTGAGGATAATTTTGGTTCGAAGTTTCTCAAGGTTGATATAATAATACACAGGAAACATATTATTAAATTACTTTCCAAGTTGGTAGAAACCCAATTTAACATTATTACTTTCCAAGTTGGTGCTCTCTTCTCTCGCACAATCTATATAAAATTGTTCTCTTTTCCTCTCTATTGAATAATTGCTTCTTTTTTTTTTTTTTTCCCTTTACTGTTTGGGTTTATATCTCTAATCAGAGTTCATCTTCTCCTGCTGCTGCTATCTCTTGGTTCTGCAGATTTATGCAGAAAACTATAAGTTCAAATCCCATGGAGAAATCCACCTTAATATGCTGTGTTCAAAACGCAAGGTATCATCTTTTTACTTATGTGTGGATTACTATGCCTCTTTTATATTTTTTATTTTTAAATCAAGAATTTTTTTTACTTATGTATGGTTTTTATAATAATTATTATTATTTTAATCTTTTATTGGAACAGTGAGAAGGATGATAAAGGAGGGTTGTGTTTGGAGGATCGTATAAACGGACTTCCCGATGTTATACTCATTTCAATCTTGTCACTATTGACAATGAAAGAAGCTGGAAGAAGTAGTCTGCTTTCAAAGAGATGGAGGTATATATGGACTTACATTGCTGCTTTGAACTTTGATGCCTCACATATAATCGATGCAATTCTACTGGCTGATGACCGTGAAAAGGAAGTGGAAGCACAAAGGCCTTTGTATTTGAGTTGGATTAATCAAGTCGTGAAATCGCACAAAGCTCCAACTATAGATGAATTCAGAGTTCATTTTGATTTTGATGTAACTTGTAGATTTGATATTGACAATTGGCTTGACTTTGTAATTAAAAAGAGAGTTAAAAGTCTTGCCTTAGAATTCCAACAAAGGACTGGAATTCTAGAGTAGAGGGAGAGAATTACAATTTTCCTGACACAAATCTCCTACATTCAAAGTTTCTTGGGTTTACTAACTGCATCTCCCTGACCAAACTCATGTTGTCAAACGTGGATGTAACTGGACAAGTTCTCAAGTACCTCTTAATCAACTGTCCATTTTTGGAACAATTGTTTGTGGAAGAATTTGAAAGTCTCGTAAATTTGAAAGTTCCCGATCTAGCGGTTAAATTGAAGCTTTTGGAAATAAATTTATGCTTCAATGTGGATAGTATTGAGATTCATGCAATGAATCTCGTGTTATTTAAGTACTTCGGAGACTTGATAAACATCCCATTCAAGAATGATTAGGAGCCTGTTGATATGTTTATCGGGGGTGAGTATTGCAACCATCTAATTTGTAACTTTTTCGAGATTTCAAGCTATCTTTCTCAGCTAGAGAGCCTTACATTGGCGATAGTGTACCTTGAGATGGTTATGGTTGTTAAGTTTGACTATCTAATTCATTTTATTTCGCCCCCTTCATTTTTTTTTTATAATTATTTTCTAACATAATTATCAATCTGCACTGATTTACTTTTTCTTTGGTTTATTCAGAATAAAATTTAGTTTTCTAGATTTCCTGTATTTAATAAGCTCAAGCAGCTGGAGTTGAAACTTACCGCAAATAATGGTGATTGCCTTCTGTTTTTTACTCCCCTTGTGGAGGCATGTCCTTTCTTGTATAAATTTGTCTTGGAGGTAATAAGTTTTACTTTATCACTTTCACTTTTTATCATGGTTTTAAAATAACCGTGATAGAAAGACTGCCTAAATTACATTAAAAATAATTCACTTTCTACCACGGTTATTTTATAATCGTGGTAGAAAGAAAAAAAAAAACATTGGAATACCATTATATGGGAAAACGATCGTGAGCAAATTCTAAGTATTTTCTAAACTTAACACACATAACTGAATTTTCAAATGAAAATTTGAACTCATTTGGACTTCGGCTTAAAAGCTTTTAATTTTTCCAAGTAATTACTTCTTTTTATGGCTATTACAAATTACCATATTACTAGTGATAGGAAAAATGTTGTTGCAGTGTTTAGCTTGTTCTCTCCGGATTGTTCAAGTATTTTGTAAATAAATAAGTATTATTTTTTGTTCTATACTTCCTGGGAGTTTCACATGGTCTTTTAATATGTTATGGTTTTTTAATATGTCAAGCTGTGATTCTAGTTTGCCGTAATTTGGTTTTGTATGCTAAAGCTTTACTTGCACTTTGTGACTCCAACAATAGCTTGATTATATCAATTGCAAAACGAGAAGAAAATGGCGAAGTGTGAAAAGTTGGCCCCATCAGTACCTTAAGGTGGTGGAATTCATTGGGTTTGTTGGGCAAACAATTGATCTTGAACTTGTAATGTATTTAATCAGGAGTGCTTTCAACCTTGAGAAAATTACTTTTAATACTCGCATATCGAAACTTATAGGAACTCCATTTGAGTTTATGGAGACCAAGCAGAAAAAAGTAGCAAGAAAGCGCGCAGAGAAACTTCGAACCAAACTCCTTGTTGGAACAGATTTGGTGATCTTTTAATTAGTTATCCTATTAGAGCAGGAGCAGATTTGGTGATCTTTTAATTAGTTATATGTTTGTATAATCTATTTATTAGACTATTGTAAAGTGGAGAGATTTTATTTATTTATTTATTATAATAATAATAATGGGTTGTGTTTTCCATATTTATTTAAAAAAACACATTCGCAAATACTTTTGTACTTCCCAACAAGCTAGAAGAATAAGCCCCTGAAGCAAAAATGGTGACTATTCTATTTTATTTTTCTATTTTTCTCTAGAAAAATGACTTGGAACCTGTCTATGTAACACATCAAATCTAGGGTGTCGGTGAAGATGCGAATGAATAATATTGTTGACACTACAACAAAAGTGATCTTTAGTGACGATTTTTTTTCTTCACAAAAAGTTAAATTTTTGTCATTAAAAGTATTTAGCGACGAAAAAACTTTCGTCACTAGTTTGTTGCTATATAAACGTCTCGGTTGATCTATAGTGACGAATCAAAATTTCGTCACTATTGTTTGAGTTTTAGTGATGAAATTTTATTTGCCAATGCTACTTGAATTTTAGCGACGAAATTTTTCGTTGCATTTTCTTTGGCATTAATGACAAATGTTTTCGTTGCTACTTTAAACAGTGACCAACAGTTTTCGTCACTAAGTAGGTACAAAGAAACATAATTTTATTAATAATGAAAAATATATTTTGTTACTCATTGCCATTGTTAAAAAAACTGATTGACATTGATTAAATTTATACATTCAACCATACACATTTCAGAGTACAAAAGGCATCACAAATTTAAACATAACATTAAATTTCATTAAGAAGTACATAATAATTCGAGTTCAAATACAAACTTACACATAATTTGATCAAATTTCGACCCTCAATTGTTCGATTCTAATACAACATAAAATTTCAATTGTGCAACACAAAATAACCAAACTAAAACATAAAAGCAATCTTCCAAGTCCCTATATATGGGGGCACTAATCTCATCACTTTACTTTGTCACTTCCATGAGTAGTTTATTTTTTTCATGTCCTCCCAATCAATTGCTCTGCAATTCAAAAAGAACAAAGCCATTAGAACAAGGTTATAGAAAATTAATTTGTAAGTTGAGAAAACGAAAAAAAAATGGGGAATGTTCCAATTATAGATTTCATTGAAACAAATATATATATATATATATATATATATATATATATATATATATATATATATATATATATATGACAGTAACAAAAAGAGCATAATCACGAACCAATGACGAAATTTGAATTACCTTTCTCCATAGATAAACAAAGCTATTGAATTTAGTACGAAATATAAAAGACATTGGAAACAACATCATCCAACTACAAAGTGGAAATCTCACTCCATGAAAAAGCAGCAAAAAAGCTACACTGAATGCACAAAAAGTAATTAGGCTGAATAGTCCAATTAGAATTCATTTCCTTTTCTTTAGCAAATTTTGAAAATCAGGAAAGTAAAAAGGAAAAAGAATAGGAGAAACATTGAGCAAAACAATCCAGACAATCGACGACATTGGAAACAACTACATGTAGAGTAAAACACAAATCCTTCGAATGGAAGCTTACCTTCATTTGCCTGAGGCCATCTCATCAACAAACACTTCAGAAGTTTCAGCATATATACCAAGTTGATTGTTACTGATTAACTTAAGATAAGAGGGAATGCTCTAAAGCCAACATTTGCTGCAATGATGGTAGAAGTTAATAGAATGCAAGCTTGCCTTCATTTGCCTCATCTAACCACCAAAAGTGGTAAGTTGGATAAATCTCTACCTACAAAATAAATAGTGTATCCTTAGTAAAAAAACAGTGATCAAAGAGAGAGGATTACAAAAACTGGATTGAAACTTCATCATAGAACATAATATCTTCTTCATCTGAGCAACCATCATTGGATGTATCTGTTAACCAAAAATAATAAATAATGTATCATATACTATAGTATAATTTATTTAAATATTATTTGTAAATATAATATTTATTATAATAATCTCTATATATATATATATTTATTTAGTTTAATATCAAGAAAATAAAACTATAGAAGAACCTGATAAAGTCGAGGCTAGAATTTAATTCTATAGCCTTAAGACAGATACGCCCCGCTACGGTGCTAACGGACTCTTCGGCGTCTATCTCCCAGGATACAACGACTTTTCTTCCTTTGGTAGTAGCACTTCAAACCAATGGAATAGGCGAACCGGCTCGGTGTAGTACTCTCTGATGAACTCAGACTCGGAGACCAGGATTGAACCCTAACTCGGAGACCAAGATTGAACCTAAACTTGGAAACCAAGGTTCGAACCCAATCCAAACCAGTTTAGGTTGAACCCAAACCAGTGGCTGAACCGAACAAAGAAGAATTAGAAGAAGAAATTCAGAAGAAGAGAAGAAGATTTCTGAATTTGGTGTGAAAAGAAATGAACCCAATGATGGGTATTTATAGGCTTGTTGGTGCCTATTCTCAATGGGTGCACCCATAGTCCGAATGGGTGCAACCATTGTTGACCAATCAGAATTAAAATTTGTTGGTGGTTTTTAATTTGTAAAGGGTGCAACCCTTGGTTCAAAATTTAAAACTGAATCCTTTTAATTCTGATCCAGCCCAGCCCTTAATTTCGTCCAGTCCAGCAAGCAAATAACCCAACTTGGCTATTAATTCAGCCCAGTAAACAGGCCCATTTTGATAAGTCCAGCAGCAAAATAAAATTACCACACAGGCCCATCCTAACTTTGGGTAAAAAGTTAAACCCATTTCACAATCAAGCCCCGCCCCGCCCTAGCCCGGACCGGACCGGGTCGGGCGGGCGGCGCGCGCGTGTGGTAGTTGGTTCGGATCCAGGCTAGCCTAGGTCCTCCCCCTCTTAAAAACTTGGGTGCCCTTGGGCCCAAACCCAAATCCCATACTAGACATATATATACTCAAGGTTGCTTTGCTACTTTTTCGATGTGGGACAAGCATTTCCCACTTTATTCACACCCATTTAGGCTTTATAAATCACTTACTTTGGAGCCAATTTCTCATTCACCCGGAAACGGATTTGAGAAAATAAATATACCACATTCATCTCCTCGCAGAGAGGAACGCGCTCATCAATAGATTCGCAAAAAATTCTTAGCGGAATCTTTTTAATAATCCTTCCAAAGTTTGCGTTTTCTAATGCCGTTTCCAACAATCCCCCACATGAATGAAAATTTTCGCAGATTACAAAAGGAGAAGATACAGACACTATAGAGAGTACTATTGGAAAGTTACTGCATCGGGATAGGTAGCTTTTGGCCTTGAACCTTCCCTAGTGTATTACTATCGGATTTACTAGCTAACCGGTGAACATTATGTCTTGAACTGTTCAGCCATTGATGTAAACCAAAACAATAGCAAACACACAATTCCTTCCCACACAAAGTCGGTTCTCACGGTTGTGTTCATATGGCCCTGAACAACGCCTGGTATTTCATGAGCGCTCCAGAAAACTTAGCCTTGGAAGTTCTCATAGAAGCGGCCCCACTTCACACTCATATAGGTGACTTCTTATTAAGAGTATCCTACCATACCCCACTTGAATTTTCAAGGTATAAGAGTCATTAAAAGCATAGCTTATCCTACTCATCGCTGTAGGTAACACTGTTTCATCATAGAAATGGGTAGAAGATTGAATCTTCCCAGTGCTTCTGGTGAGCCATTCAGAATTTCTGTTGTCCCTTTGAACCTAAATCTTGGGATCTCCAGTCAATTAGGTTGGGTTTCCATTAAGATGACTCGTTAGCTTTCGGCTTTAATCCCATTCCCCTCGATGAACTATATACTTGCTCTCTTGTCAAACCTTTTGTAAACGGATCCGCTAAATTATCTTTTGACCTGATATAATCTATTGAGATTATCCCACTTGAGAGCAATTGTCTAACGGTATTATGTCGTCGACGTATATGTCGAGACTTACCGTTGTACATATTACTTTGTGCCCTTCCAATTGCTGATTGACTATCACAATGTATACATATAGCGGGCACCGGTTTAGGCCAATTTGGAATATCTTCTAAGAAATTACGAAGCCACTCAGCTTCTTCACCTGCTTTATCCAAAGCAATAAATTCAGATTCCATAGTGGATCTGGCAATACAAGTTTGTTTTGAAGATTTCCAAGATATGGCACCTCCTCCAATAGTAAAGACATAGCCACTTGTGGATTTAGAATCCTTAGTATCTGATATCCAATTAGCATCACTGTATCCTTCAAGTACTGCTGGATATCTAGAATAATGTAATCCATAACTTATAGTATATTTTAAATACCTTAGAACCCTAATTATTGCAGTCCAATGGTTCTTTCCTGGATTACTAGTATATCTACTCAATTTATTAACTGAGTATGCTATGTCTGGGCGTGTGCAATTCGTCAAATACATTAAGCTTCCTATAATGCGAGAATACTCAAGTTGTGATATGCTAGGACCAGTATTTTTCGATAAATGAAGATTTACATCAACAGGAGTCTTTACAAGACTACTATCCCCTTTATTAAACTTTTCTAATATTTTCTCAATATAGTGAGATTGAGATAATACTAGACCATCTGATGTTCTAGAAATCTTAATTCCTAGTATGACATCTGCTATGCCTAAATCTTTCATATCAAAATTTTTGGTCAACATCTTTTTAGTAGTTTTGATTATAACATCATTACTACCCATTATAAGCATATCATCCACATATAGGCACACAATGACATATCCATTTTGAGTGTTTTTCACATACACACATTTATCACACTCATTAATTTTAAAACCATTTGACAACATCACTTTGTCAAATTTTTCATGCCATTGTTTAGGTGCTTGTTTTAATCCATATAAGGATTTTACAAGTTTGCACACCTTCTTTTCTTTCCCTGGAACTATAAACCCTTCAGGTTGTTCCATATAGATTTCTTCCTCTAATTCACCATTTAAAAAGGCAGTCTTAACATCCATTTGATGTATTTCTAAGTTTTGCAGTGCTGCAATAGCTAGTAACAATCTAATGGATGTTATTCTTGTGACTGGTGAATATGTATCAAAATAATCCAGGCCTTCTTTTTGCCTATATCCCTTAGCAACAAGTCGGGCTTTATATTTTTCAATTGAACCATCAGGCTTCATCTTCCTCTTGAAAATCCACTTATACCCTAAAGGTTTAGTACCAGGAGGAAGATCCACCAACTCCCAAGTATGATTTTGCATGATGGATTCAATTTCACTATTTATGGCTTCTTTCCATAAATTAGCTTCAGGAGAAGACATAGCTTCCTTGTAGCTTTGTGGCTCATTCTCCAATATATATGTCAGAAAGTCAGGACCGAATGACTTAGACGTTCTAGCTCTTTTGCTACGTCTAGGTTCTTCCTCATTTTCATCATCTATAGACTCTTGGTCTATATTCTCTTGTATATTGCTATTAGCAGTATCATAATTTCTTTTAAGAGGATTTTTGCAAGGAAATATATCCTCAAAGAAATAAGCATTCCTTGACTCAATAATTGTATTGACATGGATATCAGGAATGTCTGATTTATGCACAAGAAAACGATATGCACTACTATTCTGTGCATAGCCTATGAAAATACCATCAAAGGTTTTTGGTCCTATCTTAACTTTCTTAGGAGTAGGAACCGCAACCTTAGCTAAACACCCCCATACTTTTAAGAATTTATAGGAAGGTTTTTGACCTTTCCATAATTCATAAGGTGTCACATTTGATCTCTTTTGAGGTACCTTGTTGAGAACATAATTAGCAGAGAGCAAAGCTTCCCCCCACAAATTCTGGGTTAAACCAGAACTTATCAACATAGCATTCATCATTTCTTTTAAGGTACGATTTTTGCGTTCAGCAACACCGTTCTGTTGAGGTGAATAAGGAGCGGTAGTTTGGTGAATAATACCATGTTCTGAACAAATGTCAGCGAATGGTATTTCGTATTCACCACCTCTATCACTTCTAAACATCTTTATCTTTTTTCCAAGTTGATTCTCAACCTCATTCTTGTAATGTTTAAACATTTCCAAGGCTTCATCTTTACTTCTTAACAAGTATACATAACAATATCTTGTGCAGTCATCAATAAAAGTAACGAAATATTTTTTCCCACCTCTAGTTGGCACAGATTTAAAGTCACAGATATCACTGTGAATTAATGCTAGAGGTTCAGTACTTCGTTCTATGGAGTGAAATGAGGTTCTAGTCAATTTTGCTTCTACACATGTTTGGCATTTTTGATTTAAATCAATATTAAATTTAGGTATAGATTCCATATTAATCAATCTACGAATAGTATCATAATTAACATGTCCTAACCTACCATGCCATACATCAGATGAGTCAATAATATAAGCAGAAGAAGCACTAGCTTTATTATTATCATTAATAGCTTTGGGTACAACAGTCATTACATTGAACTTAAATAGTCCATTACTTAGATACCCTTTGCCCACATACACCCCATTCTTAGTCAGCACAAACTTATCAGATACAAAGACCAGCTTGAACCCATTCTTGCTTAGTAGTGACCCAGAGACCAAGTTCTTCCTGATGTCTGGTACATGCAGCACATTATTAAGAGTGAGCTCTTTTCCTGAGGTCATTAGTAGCTTGATCTTTCCTTGTCCTTCAACCTTTGCAGTAGAAGAATTCCCCATGTAGAGTTGTTCTTCATTATTTATAGTTTCATAGGTAGTGAACATCCTCTTTTCAGAGCAAACATGACGAGTAGCTCCTGTGTCCACCCACCATTCTCTGTTGTTGCTTACCAGGTTGATTTCAGAAACCACAGCTGAAAGATTTAACTCTGATACATCAGCTGTCAACTTATCTTCTTCAGCTATGTGCACCTCAGTGGTCTTCTTCTTGGGGTTATGATGTGT